ATATTTGGAAAGGAAGAATTCTGGGTCTCCCTCCTTTTGATGCCTGGGGCTCATTTTAAGAGATGTCTAAGGCCTTGTTGAGTCTGTCTGCACACAAATACTTCCATCTCTTCTGGGAGGTAGAGGGACAAAAATCTTTGCCTGCAGCTGCCAGAACAGGTCTGGATACCTCTCAGTTAACCTGAAAGAGGAATGCCAGTTACCTTTCAATACCAGGATGGCAGGCCTCTCTTCAAAACAGCCTCTGGAAATAGGTGCCTCCCCAGAAAGGACACCTCCTTGTTCTCCATATTGAGGTGAAGCAGAATCTAATTCAAGTAGGTAAACTGAAGCCAGCTCTCCCTTTCAGATTATGATTGTTCCCCTCCCCTGATCACAAAGCATTTGTACTAAATGTTATGAGTATTTGTATTTGCTGTACATCCTTTTGAAAAATGCACAGTTCTACCTCTCAGCTCCATGTCCTGGGCCCCCAAAGTTCGTTGCAGGATCTACATTACTATCAAAGCTAACTGTCATTATCTTGGATTAAGCTCCACACCCCGAAGATCGTCACTTTGTGTTCCTACCTCCCAAATGAAAAAAAAAAAGGCAGGAAGGTAAGGAAGGAGTGAAGGAACAAAGGCTCCTTGTCATATATTACCTTGGTCTACAAAGGATAGGAGTACGGTTTCAAGTTAGAAAAACTGGGAATTGAAGCCAGTTGTGTGCTCATGAACAAGTATTTCCACCTTGGTTTAGCTTGCTTTTCTGAGCTATGGAACAGGGGTGTTAACACCTGTCCTGAGTGAATCATCAAGACGTTGTGAAGATCACAGGTGAAGCCAAGCAAAGTACCTAGTGTAAGCCTGGGACAGCTTTGCAGCTGGAACTTACCCTGTCAGAAGCACAAGTCAGGATGGTGGCACTACCAGTCCAGATTTTGACATGGGCATTGGGAGTGCAGAAATGAAGCAGTGGGCTGGTGGTCTTCAGTTCCAAAAGACAGGCAGATGTGGGGCTTCATGATACCAGAAGGACTTGCTTAGAAATGTGTCTCCCACATTTTTAGCTGTTCTCAAATTCTTTTTTTTCCTATTATTTTTTTCATTGTAAAGATTCTGTAGAGAGGAGTTACAGTTACATGAGTAATGAGTCCATTTCCTATCGAGCATTGTTACCTCCTCCTTTGATTTTTCCCTATCACTTCCCTCCCCACCTCCCCAAACTCCTCCTTTCCCCCAACATTGTAAAGTTCGATTTCAGAAGTGTTCTGTACATCTCATCGTCACAATGGGTCAACCTGCATCCCCATTTAAGCATTCTGCTACACTCCTTCCCCTCCCCAAATTACCAAAATATATATATACAAGATGCAGAACACCAGAATCAAATATGGTGAAAACAGCGGTTATACCATGGAGGAAGAACTTACAAAAAATGTACATATGACCATATGAGATAATGTTAAGCAAAATGTACCCCAAGATAGGGACACAAGGGTTTTTTTTCTTGCTTGCTATTTAACGTACTTATACTGTTCTCAAATTCTTGAGATGTCAGATATGCAGTCTTGGTGGGCTACACAGCACTTCTGAGAAGAGAAACTTTTCAATGCTGGGCTACGTGGAAACTGAACCCCATGCTGTGAGGTCCCACATGAACCCAGTCTCCATATCCCCAGGCTCCATATCAGCTACTGGTAGGGAGGGAAATTTTGATCCGTGGGTAGATTTACAAAAGGTAGAATTCTTTAGAGAACAGACCACTTCACAGAGGCAAAGAGTACAGTGAGGGGAGCTTCGGGAGGACAAGTTTAGTAGCTACAGAATGCAGTAAGGACCCTGGGTCCCAAATCAGGAAGTAGGAGAGAAGGAACAGAAAACTGTCCACTTATTCAGTGGTTTATTCTGATAGCTCTTTCACACAAAATGCCAAACTGATCAGATGTACACAGGCTTGTCCATAGGCAGTTCTAGTCTGCCCCCTGGTGGGTGAAGAGCGTAAGGAGCCATTATCTTAGGCATTATCAATCAGTATGTAGTCTTACACAAGTCAAAATGTAGTCTTATACAAGAGGTCTGATTAGGTAGTCTTGCTCTACTTGACCCTGTGCTTTGAAGGAAGAAAATAGCAACAGAAGAATAAACACATAAGAACATAAGAAGAGCTGGGAGCACTGGTGGCTCATGCCTGTAATCCTCCTCAGGAGGCTGAGATCTGAAGATCAAGCTTTGAAGTCAGCCCTGGCAAGAAAGTCCATGAAACTCCTTTCTCTATTTAATAAGCTACTCAGAAAAAGCTGGAAGTGGAGCTGTGGCTCAAGAGGTGGAATGCGAGCCTTGAGCTCAGAGAAAAAACCAAACCCAAACAAAACAAACCATGAAAACAAAGACAACAACTTGTATCAGTACAGTACCTTGGTTTCAAAGGCATGGTATATAAGTGCCCTTCCTTAAGAAGAGCTCTGGGAGAAAAACTTAAACTCTTGCAGGTATTTTTTAAATAAGGTAGCAGAGTCCTGTGGCTTATTGTACAGGTTTTGCTGTCAAACAAAAACAAACATGAGGACAAATTACCACTCTAAGCATTGTTAATCTCATCATCACCTTTGAATTGTATGACATCTTTTATTTTTGTCAGTTGTTGGGCTTGAACTCTGGGCCTGGGCACTGTCCCTGAGCTCTTCAGCTCAAGGCGAGCGCTCTACCGCTTGAGCCACAGGGCCACTTCCGGTTTTCTGGTGGTTGATTAGAGATAAGAGTCTTACGGACTTTCCTGCCAGGGCTGGCTTTGAATCATAATCCTCAGATCTCAGCCTCCTGAGTAGCTAGGATTACAGGTGTGAGCCACCAGAGCCCAGCTCTTTGTGATATTTCTATGCATGTCTATAATGTGTTTAATCTTCTTCACTTGAAAACAATGTGTCAGTGCAATGTAGAATGACTGCTACACTAGTGCCTCTGGCTACTGGCTATGACTTGTCCCATAAAGAGAACGTGCCATTCTCCTAATTGGGGCCTTCCATGTCACCTTTCTTCTTGCAAGCAGAATTTGATATCAGAAATTTCCCTTCATGAAAATATCTTCTGCATATAGACATGCTCTCATCATCAGGTGTGGAAGGGTTAAGAAGAAAATATGCTAACAAGGGAGAGTAAGACTAACTGACCCAGCTAGGAGATCACATTATCCCAGAGGCGAGGTGAAGCCTGCCTCTGATGACATGGGAAACACTGACCACTGACTGTCAAACTTAGCAAAGTGGAGGTTATTGGTGCCTTGGCCAACACCATGTTGACCCAGTGATGTGGTGAAATTTTGATAGCAACTGGATGTATCAGGTACAGATTATTCTTTTTACACGTTTCTATAAAGAATAGCAAAGACATGGAGTGGTAACTAGACATATAAATGGTTTATTGTTTATACTTAAATGGGCATAATTTTATTTTTTATTGTAAAGATGAGGTACAGAGAGGTTACAGTTACATGAGTAAGGCAATGAGTACATTTCTTGGTTTATGTTTTAAGATGGAAGAAATAATTATAATAACAGTGGAAAGGGATTGTTAAGGGGAAAATGGCAATGCAAAAAAGAGAGGAAAGAATCAGAACAAAGAATCATGTACAACACCCAGAATGGCTGATATTAACTGAAATAAAGGTACATCACAAGAGAAGGTGGGTTGGGTTTTGCTAAAACTAGATAGTGAGGGGTTCACTTAAATGCCAACTTAAAATTCCAGTAACAAGCTGGGTGCTCATGGCTCACACCTGTAATCCTAGCTACTCAGGAGGCTGAGATCTGAGGATCGAGGTTCAAAGACAGCCTGGGCACAAAAGTCCATGAGACTCTTATCTCCAATAAACCACTAGAAAACCAGAAGTGGTGCTGTGGCTCAAGTTGTAGAGTGCTTGCCTTGAGCTGAAGAGCTGAGGGACAGTGCCCAGGCCCAGAGTTCAAGCCCTTATGACTGACAAAAAATCCAGTAACAATAAACATATGTGATGTTCTAAATTTCCTTACTTTCAAATAATTATTTAAACTATTTCAAAAGATGGTCTATAATATTATTTAAGAATGCCTCTGGGTCTGGGAACCCAGCTCAAGTGGCAGATCACTTGCCTTGCAAGCATAGGCCCAGGTTCAGAGAGGGAAATCAGACCTCACTCACCTACCATCACCCATGCACACAACAGGCAATATTTAAGTTGGTGAGATTATTTTACGTGATGGGATATTTTAATTGCATGCTACATTAAGAATTTACTCCAAGCATGCCAGGCACCTGTGGCTCACACCTGAAATCCTAGCTACTCAGGAGGCTAAGCTCTGAGGATCACAGTTTAAAGCCAGCCCGGACAAGGAAAGTCTGTGAGACTCTTATCTCCAGCAAACCACTAGAAAACCAGAAGTGGTGCTGTGGCCCAAGTGGTAGAGCGCTCGCCTTGAGCTAAAGAGCTGAGGGATAGCGCCCAAGCCCAGAGTTCAAGTCCCACAACTGACCAAAAAAAAAAAAAAAAAGAATTTACTCCAAACATAAAACTTAAAATATTGTAGAGTGTGTGAGTGTGTGTGTGTGTGTGTGTGTGTGTGTGTGTGTGTGTGTGTGTGTGTGTGTATGTGTGCTGGTCCTGTATCAGGGCCTGGGCACTGTCCCTGAGCTTTCTACCACTTGAGTCACATATGTACTTCTGGCTTTTTGGTGGTTAGAGAAAAAGAATTTTAAGGACTTTCCTCCTGGAACTGACTTCAAACTACAATCCTCAGATCTCAGCCTCTTGGGTAGCCAGGATTACAGGTATGAGCCCACAGCTTGTTTGTCTTTATAACTTTTTCAAACTAAGGCATTTGTAGTTTTTTTCCCCTCAGTTAAGTAAAAAAAGTAAGTTTGAGCCTTCCCCACCTCCACCCGCCCCCCCGCCCCGCCCCATGAGCTTTTGGCAGATTTGTATGAAGCATTTCAACTATCAACTACTTGCTGCATTTTCATGAAATGATGCTAATGACGAAGTCATCAGATGTAGAAGAGACAATCAGCCAGGCCCAAGCTTGGCTCCTTGTGGATGCTTTCTGCCACCAGAAAGGTCAGCTTGTGTGCGTACTGGCATGGTGCTGGGACACTGATCAGACCCTGAGGAAGGAAAAGCAAGATGATCATCAAGAAATAACCTTGTTATTTGAAGCACTTGTCTTCTTTCCTAGTTTTGTCCAGTTAGATGGGATTCTTGAGCACCATCAGTAAATAGTCTTACTTACCTGCCGGTTGTAGTACAGATGGCAGAGTTTGAATGTCAGTCTCTGAATGTGGTCAGGGTTCAAGCCATTGTCATCATAGATGATATTATAGTAGGTGGGGTTAATGGTTCCATTATGGGCAGTCTGACTGACCAAATAAAAGTCATACCTGAAGATCATAAAATGAAATTAAATAGAGTAAGTCCAAACCTAAAGAACACATAATGAATGATCACTAATTTTTTTTCCAAGATCTCTTACCACTCAGGATGTGTTGCTTCTGAATCCACGACAGTGCCCAGAATAGGGTTCTTAAGGGTGTAACCCACTTTTGTCAAGAACCAGGTCATGCACCTCTTCCTGACCACGACCATGGACAGCCTGTAGGCAGGTCAGAAACAGAAAAGCAATCCAAGTAGTTTTGTAATTTTAAATATTAAATAAATAAAATTCACTAGAAAACACCACAAAATAAAGAGTTCCTTCCTTAGAGAAATATACAACTCTCCAAATAGATTGCTCTCAGTAGTTGTAAAAAGTATTATGGCAAATCATTTGCTAATTTATACTGTTTAAAGGGCAGGAAGAATGGTCAGTAGAACAATGAACTTCCATTGCAAGTGTGCACATGCACACACATGCTAGCCAGTACCATGGCTTGAACTTGAGGCCTTGTGTTTTCTGGGTTTGCTTGCTCATGGCCAGGTCTCTGACACTTGAGTCACGCCTCCATTCCAGCATTTTGCTTCTAGCTGTCTTTGAACCACAATTCTCTGATCTCAGACTTATGAATAGCTAGGATTCTAGGCATGAGCCACCAGTACATGGCTTTGATTGAATTTTGAGGAAAATATTTTCCAGAATTATTCATGGAGACATTTTGTCCCATTAGCAGGAGTCACCTTATTTTTCCCTTTACTCTTCCTCTTGAGTGTATTTCTGAGTAGCAAGAAAGAATCATGAGTTCCTGTTACTCCTAAAATCCTCTCTTATGGATCATACAAAACCAACATTCCTCAGGTGAATGGATTTGACCAACGTATGTGTGGGTAAATGCTGATTGCCAAGTGCTAAAATACTTCATAAAGTCAAGGACAAATCTCAGTATTCACCATCATATAAGGACTTCTGAGATGCAGGAATCAATGTGAAGTTTCAGCTTGAACGTTGTAATTAATTTGAAATTAATTCTGAATGTTTTCTCTCTCTCTTTCTGTGTGTGTGTGTGTGTGTGTGTGTGTGTGTGTGTGTGTGTGTGTAGGTCCTAGGGCTTGAACTCAGAGCCTGAGCCCAAGGCTAATGCTCTATCACTTGAGCCACAGCTGAAGCCACTTTGGCTTTTTGCTAGTTCATCAGAGAATGTCTCATGGACATTACTTCCTGGGCTATAGCATTGAACCACGATCCTCCTATCTCAGCCTCCTGAGTAGCTCAGATTACAGGTGTGAGTCACAATTGTCCCACTTGAATGTTTTCAATATTGATGTTTTTAATAGTTGATGTCACAGGTCAAGAAAAGTAATGTCTAACTCCTTCAGTTGCAGAACTTACTTCTGCCTCTTTTAATTGCATATTGAAGTTCTTATTTTTAATCATTCATTTGAGATACATTCACCTGAAATCAGGGGGAGAAATCTGGGTGTAGCTTCAGTGACCTTGCACAGGGAGTAGTTAGGATTTTCCTAACAATAACTGGCTGAGGTCAAGATGCAAGTCTTGTGTGACTTTGGTTGATGGCAGTTACAGAGTACAGTGTATCACTGAACCCGAGATTATTGTCCTTCCTAATTTTGCTTTTTCTTTGTTAAAGTCTTGGGGCTTGAACTCCGGGTCCCTGAGCAATTTTGCGCAATGCTAGCTCTCTACCACTTTGAGCCATGGCACCACTTCCAGTTTTCTGGTGGTTATTTTTGGAGATAATATTCTCGCAGACTTTTCTGCCTGAGCTGGCTTCAAACTGCGATCCTCATTTCTCAGCTTCCTGAGTAGCTAGGATTACAAGCATGAGCCACTGGCACCCAGACCTAATTTTGCATTTTTTTTGGTCGATCGTGGGGCTTGAACTCTGGGCTTGGGCACTGTCCCTCAGCTCTTCAGCTCAAGGCGAGTGCTCTACCGCTTGAGCCAAAGCGCCACTTCCAGTTTTCTAGTGGTTTTTATTGGAGATAAGAGTCTCCAGACTTTCCTTGCCTGGGCTGGCTTTGAACTATGATCCTCAGATCTCAGCCTCCTCAGCAGCTAGGATTACAGGCTTAATCTTGCATTGTTATATCTAATTTTGCGTTGTTATATCTTTCTTGCCTTTGACACGACATTCTCACCAAGAAAAAAATCTGTACTGAAATGCTGAATGTACAAATGCAACAAGGGAGCCAGTGCTTTGTGTTCAAGATGGTCTGATTTGCACCCACCGCTTGGATTTCTTTCATGGTTCCCACACCTTCCAGCACTTTTCAGCACCATAACTAACTCAGCACACTAGAGTCTACAATTTATTCTCGTGTGTTACTTGTGCCTTCAATCTGAAATCGCAGGTTGTTTTCTAGGCACATTAATATACGTTCTCATACATATTAAAATAAGCAAAATAATCATCTTTATTTGCCAGCAGCCCTGAAGACTTTCTGTGAGTCTGTGTCAGCTGCCTCCAAAGTATCTGTCTTTCTCTAGGTGACCCACCTTGGGCCCCCAGAGTTTCTGTTTGCAGTCTATGTGAGGCCATCTTGACTACCCTTGGAACATCCATACAGCCATACTGAAATGGTGCAGAAGCACATTGCATAGAAAGTCATGTTTGTACACTTTGCGTTTAATAGTAGCAGGTGAACATGCTATCATTGGGAGTGGTAGAGAAAGAGCAATAAATACCTGGAACTTGGACTGGATTCTCTGATGCTGCTCAGCAGTTGCGGGACTTCACATTCAAGAATTGTTTTTAGCTGGCCATCCTCGACACCATCTCGATACACGATTATCCATGCTGGCAAATAGTGGTTGTACTTGAACCATTTTTTCAGTGCTCCTGCAATAGTTGGTATAAGAACGATGCCAGCCAAAAAGAGTATTCCCACATCATATTTCAGTGTTTTAAAAACAAACAGGGCAATATCTAATTTGATTTAATATCTAATTTGGGTAATTCAGAATAGAGATATATCTAGTTTGTGTTATAGTGCAGTAAGAGTGAAAGATTTTAGGAGCATCTTTCATCTCTACTTGATGATCTCTATGACATGTTATATTCTTAAATTTAGTATATGTCTTTAGCCCAATTTTAATATTTAAGCAACAAATTCAAATTTCAACTTATTTGACAGACAAGTGCCTAAAACCAGATTATTACTAATTTGCCTTTTTCTTCTAGCCTTTAACTTCTCTCAGTAGATATAGACTATGATATATTTGTACCACTTTCTTCCCCAATGAAAATATAAAAACATATGAAAATGACTTTTCCACCTACTCTCTGTAGAAACTGCCTAGGAGCAGGAATTGTATGATAACTTCTACACAGAGAAACTTTCAATAACAATTGCTAAAAGAAATATTTACCAAGTTTTGAAATGAGGGGCAAAGTAATAGAGTGCAATAATTCCTTTCATGCACATATTATACATTTTATTTTAGAAGAGTTTATTTTAAAAATTTCATTTCAGTTTGAAAGAAGATAATCATACATCCTGGATGATCAACATGCTCACCAAGTTCATTTGAAAAAATTATCACCCCCGTTTACAGATTGGAAAATACAGACTGGAAGAGTGATCTGCACGCAGTTGGAAGCCATGCACTGTGAATTAGGGTCTCCTTTCTACTCTGCCATCTCTCTATCATTTCCCATTTTGCCACAGTTTTCCTTTAAGCATGGCTATCTTAGAGCCAGAGACTTGTCTCCTGTGTCTAGACTTACACAGCTCTGTCATAAGCTTACTTTCTTTTGGCAGTTTTCTTTTGGCCTTCAGACTGCTTTCCAGAGGCCACCAGCAATCACAAACTTTTGTCCCTTTTGGATTTTTGTTTATCACACAAAGATAAGTGCCACACAGTCCTACTTTTTAGCCTGTAGAGTCGGCACAGAAATTTGGGATACCCAACTAGGTGACAGTTGGCAGGTTTAGTGAGTTTGTTTCTGCCTAGCTTGTCTGTTTATAAACACATAAAATTTGGGTCTATTGGACAGTCCTTGGAGCCCACCCTCTGACTGCTGTAATTTTAGTACCAGTCATGAAGATTTTTAAACAGTCCGCAATATTGGTGTTTGTTTTCTGGAGGATGCAGCGGGAAAACCACCTAAAGCAAGCAAAAGACAAGAGTAAAATTCAACTTCAATATTCCCACTCTAAAAATGTAGTAATACTAAATTAAGAAAAAGACATAAAATCGATGTTCATAATTTGGTATGTGCTATGTGATAACATTTTAAAAAGTACCTCATCCAAGAATCAATTTATTGTTATTTGAAACCATAGTGTTGGCATTGGGGTGCAAGTCCTGGCTACTCACTAGTTATATGGCTTGGCTATGTGAACTTCATCTTAATTTCTCCAACTGTACCAAAGAGATTGCCAAGATAGTAAAGTACTTACTACCTTCTAGGTTTAAGATAAACATTTAAGGGGCTGGGAAGGTGGCTCAGTGGTAGAGCGCTTGCCTTGCATGCCTGAGGCCCTGGGTTCTATTCCTCAGCACCACATAAGCAAAAAGAAAAAAGCCGGAAGTGGCGCTGTGTCTCAAGTGGTAGAGTGCTAGCCTTGAGCTGAAGAGCTGAGGGACAGTGCCCAGGCCCAGAGTTCAGGCCCCACGACCAGACCCCCCCCCCAAAAAAAGATAAACATTTAAGGTCAGTGATATATAAAAAATATTTAGGACAGTATTTGGAATATAGTGAACACTAAGAAAGGCTGCTATATAAAATTATTATAATTGGACTCCTATTATGATTATTAGACATATTAGTTTAGCAGTAGCTCTTATGCATGTAAAATCTTCAAGGATTTCTCAGGCATAGCCTTCCATTTGAATTTCACCATCAACCTATCTAAATTTAAAAAGTTCTCATGATAAAGTCATTAATTAAAAGCAACTGTAACCCTAGCTACTCAGGAGGCTGAGATCTGAGGATCTCAGTTCAAAGCTAGCCAAGGCAGGAATGTCCATGAGATTCTATGTCCAATTAACCACCAAAAAACCAGTTCAAGCTCGCCTTGAATTGAAGAGCTGAGAGACAGCTCCCAGACCCAGAGTTCAAGCCCCAAAACCGATGGTTTTTTAAAAAAAAAAAGCACTTGGAAAGTGAATATCATGACAGAATATACTCTATGGTTTGGGTATAAAATGTCCCCTAAAAGGCTTGTGTGTTGAAGAATTATTCCTATTGAAGATGATTGGATTGTGAAAGGACTAACTCTATCAATGAATTAAACCACTGAATTAATAACTGAGTGTGTTAGGAAGTATGGCCTATATTTGAGGAAAGTCACTGGGGGTCACCTTTGCTCTCTGTCTCTCCCGTCTCTCCCCCACTCCCTCATGTACACATACACATATATACACATATACTCACACGTATATACACATATATGCACACACATACACCATACATGTACATACAAACACACACAGATAAAAGCATTCTGAAAACTACCCATGGATCAGAGTGCCTCCATGGAAGTTTAGAATTCTGATGAACAACTTTCAGTGTATTGTTGTAGTAAAAACCAAGGCAACATATATATATATATATATATATATATATATATATATATATATATACACACATATATATACACATATATATATACATATACACACATACACACACACACATATAATACAGATATAATACATACATATGTATATATAGCTTTTTTTCTGTTGGTTGTGGGGTTTGAAATCAGGGCCTGGGCACTGTCCCTGAGCTTTTGGGCTTAAAGCTGGTGCTTTACTACTTGAACCACAGCACCACTTCCATTTTCTGGTAGTTAATTGGAGATTAAACTCTAAAGGACTCTACTGTCCAGGCTGCTTTTGAACGATGATACAAGGCATCATGGTTCATATTGTAGAAAAAAATTGTTGTGCCTGTTCTGAGGTTTGAACTCAGGACACTGTCCTTGAAGTTGCACTCAAGGCTAGCACTCTACCACTTGAGCCACAGCTGCATTGCTAGCTTTTTTGTGGCTAATTGTAGAGAAGAGTCTCACAGATATTCTTATCCAGGCTGGCTTCAAATTGCAATCTACACATCTTAGCCTCCTGAGTAGCAAGGATTACAGGTGTGAGCCACCAGAGCCTAGAGAAAAATAGTTTTATATGTAAGTATTATTTGTAATCATTAAGTGTTAATGTTTAAAATGAGTAAATCATTTGTATTTGTTAGTTGAACTATAATTAAAAGTCTAATTGAAGCCAGGCATGATAACGCATGCCTATAATCCAAGCACTTGGGAGGCTGAGGCAGGAGGATGACAAGTTCAGGCCAGCTTGGGTTACATACTAAATTCAAGGACAGCCTGACATACATAGTGAGATGCTTTCTCAAGCAAAAGAGAACAAAAGGATCTAATTTAAGAATATATTAGAGTAAGTTGCAAAGTACCTGGTGATTCTGGGGTTAACACTGGCCACAAATCCAACCGCCACCACCTCCTTGTTGATGACATCTTTACAGAGATCAATACCAACCACCATCAGGGACTTTAACTGAAAAAGTAAATGTGTCATGAGTTAATTCAAGTATTTACCCAGTGATTAATATGATCAATGTGACTTTATTATGATTAATTTCAATATAATAATGACTTCATTGTGATTAGTGATTAAAATGACTTTATTTTTGTGGCAGTACTAGGGCTTGAACTAAGGGACTTGTGCTTTTGCTTAGCCTTTCTTCTTTTTTTTGGGGGGGGTCCGGTCATGGGGCCTGAACTCTGGGCCTGGGAGCTGTCCCTCAGCTCTTCAGCTCAAGGCTAGTGCTCTACCACTTGAGCCACAGTGCCACTTCCGGCTTTTTTTCTTTTTGCTTATGTGGTGCTGAGGAATGGAACCCAGGGCCTCATGCATGCAAGGCAAGCAATCTACCACTGAGCCACCTTCCCAGCCCCTTAGCCTTTCTTTTTAAGGCTAGCTCTTAAGCCACATCTCCACTTGTGGCTTTTTGCTGGCTAATTGGAGATAATAGGCTCACAGACTTTTTCTGCCCAGGCTAGCTCTGAACTGCAATCCTCAAATGTCAACCTCCAGAGGAGACAGGATTACAGGTATGAGCCATTGCTGCCGGGCTTAATCTGACATTTAAAAAATGTCTCCAGTTACTGAATTTTTTAAGTTAAGGTATGTGTCAAGGAAATCAAGATCCATATTATTAAGCCAGAACCAGGGAATTAAAGGTGGAAAAAAGAGCATGATACATGCTTTGCTTAAGTGACTCACTACGGGCCACTGTAACCATCAGCTTCTGTTGGGCTGAACATGGGGATGCCAGTACCTAGAGTGTTAGGAAAGTGGTGAGTCCATTTTCCCTTACTTCTGGTCTGTGGGAATTGAAGAGAGATTCCATTCTATTCCTTCAGATTACTAGGAATCTTCACGTAGACATGCAACAGCATGTGTATTCACATCTCATATAAGATGGACATGGGGGAAGGGAGGCTGAGGGGACCATATTTGTTCTCATGGTTATGGCAATGTAAGGGAATGGGTAACATTTTTTACTTCTTATTCTTCTAACTTTTTTCCATACCTGCCTCAGTTCAGGAAATAAGAGGCTTTTCTGAATTCCTGCTAGAGTTGAGAGGTATGGGGAGCAGATCATAGGCTCTGCCAATGCTTTAAGAGCTGGGGAACCCCATGCAGGACACAAGGCTACTTGGAAAGTTAGCACTCTGCAGGAAGTAGGTAAAAGTAGAGGCCACGGAATACAGACTTTAAGACAGCAGTCCCCCCACCTCATCCCATCGCCAAGTTGATTAACTAGATTCTTCTGCATGAAAACAAATGTATTTCATTCTTCTTCTATGTTAACAGCTGAATTAAAATTCCTTGAGAAGAGGAGTCACACTTCACCTTCTCTTGGGGTATCTCTACAGTGACTTGTTTTATACCACAACACAGGACCAAGAAAACACAGTTTGTCTTCCATGTCCATAAAGTTGCGTTTACATTGTATTACATATTAGAGGAGATCTAGAGATGATTTAAAGTACGCAAGAGAATGAGTATAGGTTATATGCAAATACCACCTCTGTAAATTTTGGTATCCTCAGGGGGTCCTGGATTCAGTCTCCCAAGGATATTGGGGGACCCGATGCAAAAGGTAACTGCCTGGTTGTTCACTAAAAGGAAACAGGTAATGGAGTCCTTACTGGAATCTCGACGGCCCACAGCTCCCCTCCGAGCTTACAGATCATCTGCATGGCAATCTTGGAGGCAATGCTCATCATTATCTCTGATCTGCTCAAGGTCTCAGCTAGCACACACTGGCTTGGGACTGGGCAGTCACAGCACAGGTATTTTTTAATGTGATCATAATAGTTTTGATTGGAAGGCAGAATGCACATCACCTAAAGGCAAAGAAAGCAACACAAGATGAAATCAGTTTACTTATGTCTGGGAAGAGTTTCTGGGAAAAAGTGAAGCCTCTAAACATCTTTTGCTTCTAAGTTTCCAAGAAGCAAATATTAACATATCTACAGTTGTCTTAAATGGCCTTTAAATGAATCAAGGCAAAGCCCTCCGCCAGCCAGCCCTAGCTATCTCTCTTTGCTTTCCCTTCCTCCTCACTTTTCTCTTGAATGGAATCTGTGTTCTTAAATTCTCTTCCCATTACCTCTTTCTCTTATGGTCAGCTGGTTTTCCATGGCTCTGCAAGACAGTAGTCCCTTTTGCAGGAAATGCACAACAAGTATTCAAGAGTAGCTGCATGTACCCTACCCTCCAATAGTTTAGGAATGGTACTATTAAGCAAATATGGTAATGATAAAGAAATATGGTTACATGTCAGCCAAGATTCTGGGAAAGGTATATGGAAGTTCTTTGTACATTCTCACAATATTTCTGAAATTTTTATTTCATTTAAGTAAAACAAAGAGCACCTCATAGTAAGAATTCTATTCACTTAGTATAACACAGATGTATTTTTTTGTGTGTGTATGACTGAAAGAGAAACAGATGGCTAATACTGTTTTTCATGAGATATGAACAAGCATGTTGTGAGGTGGGCTAAGTGAACTGGGGAGGCTAAAGAGGAAGCAAAATATGAAGTAAAAACAATGTGGTATCCAGTAGGCAGAGGTCTAGTAAGAAGAGTAGAAATATCTAAAATCTCTAAAAACTTGGAGCTTAGGGGTTAGAGGCTTGGCTCAGTTGGTAGTGCACCAGCCAATGGGTGAAAGTGTCAGATACAGAGTTTGAGTTCCAGTTTCAAAAAACAACAAGAGAAAGATGGAGTGTGGTTTAATCACACTTTGGCTCCAGTCTTACACATGCATGTAGTAGGTACAAACACACACATGCTTACACGTACAACTTTGGGAAATGAGGCAACTGCAAGTGTCCAACCTGGTGGTACAGTGCAAGAGGAAATGGCTTTCATAGAAGATGAAACACACAGATGGCAGGGTTTCAGAGGAAGCAGAAACTTGGAGCCACAGGTACCCTAACATTTATGAGAAAAATGGAAGTCAATTTAAGTAAAAGATGACCCTCAACAAGTCAGAAGAAATGCAAGCAACAGAAGTTGACAGAAGGCTAACAAGTATTTTAAACTGTTAGCTAAAACACTGATGAACAATAATACTTTCTTAAGCATTTTAGGGAAATGCACAGTAATTTGCAAGCCTACCATGGAACAAAATGTTCAAAAACATGTAAACTGTACATCAAAAATACAAAAATGTCCTGTACTTACCAATTGAACACTGGGGTCAACATGTAACTGAATAGCTCTAATGAATGCAGCTACATTGTCTTGAACTTTTATGCTATAATAAAGAGATTAAGTTCTTCTTAGAAACACATAATCATATGATATCAAAAGTCACATAAATGAATTTGCAAAAGACTAGTAATTTTAGGGGAAAAGCCATTAGTAAAATATAAAAATCTTTTGAATCTAAAATAGTTTCTCAAGATCTTGTACAAGATATACAATCAACATTTAGTAACCATTTTTATTATCATAAACATTGTTGTGAGGCCAATGACATATTTTCAACTGTACAAAATTCTTTAATGAATATTTATATTCAAAATTGGATTGAAAGTGAACTTTAGAAATTTATCAAATTCTAAAACAAGGCTCACATTAAAGCAGGAATATGATTTCTCTAGTACTGACTCTCTAATACAATTTTAAAATGAAAGTTTCAGAAATCATCAAGTTAGTGAAGCAAAGGTATTCAAGTACATTCCTGCATAAAAGGGGTGGTTTGTTTGGTTTGGTTTGATTTTTTTTTAGCCACAGTGGTAACTTGTTTTGGAGCCTGGTCTAGGCAACCTTAATCAGTCAATTGTGTAACATTATGTTAGGGGCCAAAGGTTACAAAAATAACTTCCATTTAAAGAACTTGTTACCCTTCCAATTAGGAATTTCATACCTTCACAACAAAGAAAAAGAAGTAACCATAGTGTCATAAGCATATCAAGTTCAATATAAAGAGATATCAGCAATGAATGAATTTCTAAAGGAAAACTGCTTAATTTTGAGTATGTGGTCCCTTATTAAGTTAAATGTCTGTGTTTCTTATTCTCAGTCACTACTCATTAAGTGTTCAAAAAATAAGTGGCTTTACCAAAAAAGACCTTTCTAAATAACTAACTTTATGTAACACAATCAACAAAAATTATTTTAGGTAGTGTGTTTGTGTGTGTGTGTGTGTGTGCACGTGCGTGCATGCTTATGTGCACATGCATGCATGCCCTCTTATGGCTTTGTAGTGGTTAATTGGAGATATGAGTCTAAAGGATTTTCCTGCCCAGGTTGGCTTTGAAAACCTTGATTCATGGATCTCAGTCTCCTGAGTAGTTAACATTATAGGTATGAGCCACTAGCACCTAGCTAGATTTGTTTATTTTTAAATAAACTCATTTAAATTTTTATTTATTTTTATTATTATTTATAATTTTTATAATTATATTTAGTTTTAGTTTTTGTCAGTCATGGGGCTTGAATTCGGGGCCTAGGGGCCTAGGCACTGTCCCTGAGCTCTTTTGATCAAGGCTAGTGCTCTGCCACTTTGAGCCACAGCTCCAATTCCAGTTTTCTGGTGGTTAATTGGAGATAGGAGTCTCGTAGACTTTCCTGCCCTGGCTGGCTTCCAACTGTGATCCTCAGATCTCAGCCTCCTGAGTAGCTGGGATTACCAGCATGAACCACCAGTGCCCAGCTTTTATTTGTTCTTGTTAGTATAAAGATGATGTACAGAGAGGTTACTATTTCATAAGTCAGGTAATGAGTACATTTTTTTTGGAGAATGTCGCCTCTTCATGTGCTCTCTCCCAGTTTGGAGTTATTTCTATAATTGAATTTTGAAACATCATAAAAATCTATCAAGTAAATCATGATATATAACATTTAGTTTTTAGTATCCTGTTTGCTGTTAAGGTTCATTAATAACTGATAAGAACAAAAGTATAGATGGCAAAATATGGATAACTAAGGATTTATACACAACTAATCTGTGTGCCAGTAGCTCACTCCTATAAGCCTGGTTATTTAGGAAGCCAAGATCTGAGGATCACTGTTTGAACAGAACCAAGGCAGGAAATTATGATTCAAAGCCAGCTTAGGAAGGCATATCCGTGAGACACATATCTCTAATTAACCACTCAAAAGCCAGAAGTGGAGGTGTGATCCAAGTGGGAGGACACCAGCCTTGAGTGGAAAAGCTAAAGGATAGCTCCTAGGACCTGAGTTCAAGCCCAGGTACTGGCAAAAAAGATTTATTATACCCCAACCAATACTGAAAAGATTTTGAGGTATGAGACTTTCCCAAGGAGAACTGAAAATAAAGTTTTCAAAGATCAAGGTAAAACATGTCTATCTTTATAAAATAATGTTATTAAATCTCTCTTCTTGAAATGAATTTCTTAATGTATTATATTAAAAAAATTATACTAAAACAAAGCTTTTGCAGATAATGCCAGCCATTATTTTCTGCCTTCTAAGCAAACCAAATTGATATATTGAAAGTATTAAGCGTCTTCTCACATTTTAGGGTAGTCCACATTAAATCCCATGGAACTTCCAACTCTTCTCAAACACCTCGGAAAACTCTGGATCACTTTCTCAGTTCTGTTACTACATAAAATCAACCATTTATTCAAAGAAGGTGCATTTAGCATCTTGCAGGTTTGTATATCCTTGGACCAATCAGCAGCAGACACAGGTTGACACTGAGAAAATAAAGATCATAAAAGGATTAGACAGATTTATTTAGACAGCAATTAAATTGAGACATGCTGTTTATTAAAGCAATATGAAGACTAACCTCTGACCATGACCCTAATGGAGGCCTACATTTCAGTGCTTTACAAGGTTTTGGAAATTAGTTTTCCCCTTAGCTTTTCCAATAAGGGTAATTTGGATAGATTATCAAAAATAAATGATGAAAAATTTCCACATGCCAACACAAAACATTTGATGTTCAGTTACATTAGTTTAGAAACATACCACATAAAGACAAGAGAACCTTTAAAAGTGAAATGAAATACAATTGGCCTTAAAGGGAAAAAGTAAAGAATAATGTAATTTTTGCATGCAATATGTTCATTTTGCCAACTGAAACTCACAAGTGGCAGCAGATTGTTTCTTCAGGTTTCAGTATGCCTCTTTTCATAAGTAATGTCTGGAGTGAATTTCTTCACTTTATGCCAAATGGCTATCATTTAATAATTTGAAAGATTAACAGACACAACTGACACAGCAACTGAAAAGCAACTGTGGTAAAAGGAAACATAGTCTATTAGAGTTATCTTTCACCAGGAAATAGAATTTTCTCAAGTAGTGGCCCTTCCTTCCTTTCTTCCTTCTTTCCTTCCTTTCCTTACTAGAATGGCAGGCAATAATAGGTCTTTTTTTAATTTGAATGGTTAAATACATCATTTTCTAACAAACCTAAACTATGTCTCCTGGGTGCTTGTAAGTCCAATAAAGGAAGTCTGGTAAAGTCCTGAAAAGGAAATCATGGAGTACCTTAAGTCGTAAGAAAAAAGGGAAGGCAGGGCAGGAATATGACCATGGAGAAACCTAACAAATATTACAAGCCCTCTGTCACTCTGGCTAATGATCAAACATACATATTTCCAAATGAAAATAAAATCACAGCACTTACTATGTGGTCTTGCATTAATATTTTTTCTGAAGGCAGAATCCGGCCTGTCAGAGATACTTGGCTTCCAAAGTTTAGTCCCCAGGTCTCTAGCATAAATCGAGCAGATTCATTTCTGTGGGCAGAATTATTTTAAACCATTAGAGTGTTTACTTCCTTTAACTTTGTTTTAACCACTAGAGAGATAATTACAGATTATTGGATTATTTGGGTACCAACTTTCTGTCTTTAGTATTCCTAGCTCCTATTTCTTGTCATTTTTTTTTCCTGCTAAAAGGAATAGCGAAAAGTTGTGCTTGTTGGGGTTACTCAGGGATGAGAACAAGTTCCTCTGTGAGCACTGGCTGGAAAAAATAGCTTTTGAGCCTGGGAGGCCTGGGTTTAATGCCTAGATCTATGCTGAATAACATGTGACCTTGAACCACTATTACTGGTTTTCTTACCAGTAAAAAGGAAAGTGGCTACTTCATAGACTTGATGTGAATAGGCCAATACCTAAGAAGTGCTTATCATACTGGCTGGCACATGTTGTAAGTGCAATAGGTGTGAGATAATATTCTTAATAAATTCTTAACAAGGCAATACCACAGATTTTCTGAATGTGAAACTCTTGCCTAGGAGAGAATAGATGGAGGATGAGAAAGGAAGGGAACATAAGGATTTAAGTTTGAGAAGATTCACAGACTTGACAGGGAAGAATATGAGGAGATTAGCGTTGGCAACTTTGATTTTGTAACTTACTTAGCTTCAATCAGAGTTTGGTGTCATGGTCTAGGACAGAGAGCAATTTCTACTAAGCTGTAGCTCCTTGAGAGCAACCTGTCCCTAGAATGCTGTAGGCATGCACTCACAGGACACAGATGAGGTCTACACTTTGATTTCCTGGTAAAGGTCCATGTCTTCCTTAGGGAAGTTAAACCTCACCACTGTCACACCATAATTGCCCATAATTTCTTCCATCTACTAACTTTATCTCTGAATCCTTTGAATTAATAATTTTCTTCAGAAGTATCTGCCAAAGATGAGATGGGGATGGCCATCAGCAGCCGGGAAACCAAGTGAGATAAATGGTGTTAGTGAGATTTAGCAGGTGGATGAATCAGGAAGACTAATCTATAGACTCATATAAGAAAAATGCACCAAAATCTTTTCTTGGCTATGTGTAAATCAAGGGGATGTCCAAAATAAATGGCAAATGTGTATCAATAGAATGGAACCTATGAATCCACTAGGATGATAATAGAGATGCACATTCATAATATATAAATACTTAAGAAAAATCTTTAAATGAGAAAGATGGGAAGGAAAGGGAAGGGAAGGGAAATAAAAGTAATTTATTCAACAATGATTCAATGTTTTATTAAACAAATAATTACTGAGTTCTCTCTCCTTCTTTCCTCCCTCATCATTAGTTTATGTAAATTTCCAAATTCTTCCATGAGCTACTAAAAAAAATGAAGCTGGGCACTGGTGGTTCACACTTAAAATTTTAGCTACTTGAGAGGCTGAGATCAGGAGGACTGTAATCTGAGGCTGGTTTACATAAAAAAATTCACAAGACCCCTTTTCCACTGAGAACTGGGTACAACAGTGTGCATCTGTCATCCTGGTTATGTGGAAAGCTGGCAATGGGAGATAGCAACTCTAAACAAGACTAAGCAGAAAAGTCTACAATGCTCGCTCCCTCCTCAGGGTGTGAGGCTCCCTCCTCAGTGAGAGAAGTGGGGAGTGGGGGAACAGGAACCTCAGTAGCAACAGGAAGCCTGGAATATGTGGCGTGCAAACCAACTATGTGCCCATGCAGGAAGCAAGGCCTGATTTCATAAATAAACAGTACAACTTTATCTTTCATTGGGAGGTCAAGTGGGGAACAGAAATAGAGGGACAAGGGGTGACCAAATGCAGCAGTGGTACTCACTGGACATTTTGCTAAAAATAAACTATACAACTTGTGGGTGGAGACAGGAGGGAAAAACTGGGAGAGAGCAAGGGAAGGGGTGATACTGTCCAAAAAGAAATGTACTCTTCACTTGACTTACAAAACTGTAACCCCTCTGTACATCACCTTTATAATAACAATAAAAAATTAAAATAAAAAAATAACCAGCAGCACAGCAAAGGGCTGAAGGCATGGCTCAGCCAGTAGAATTCCTGGCTATCTGAACTGAGACCTTCCATTCAAGCCTTAGTGCTACCAAAAAGGACAAAAACAAAACAATTTAAAATTTCCTACTACACTTTAACAAAAACAAATGAAGTCATATAAACATGCTATCTGACCTAATATATCCAAAATATTGTCACCTAAAGATGTCACTGACCACATTTTAAGTGCCCAGATCTAATGTATTAAACATGAAAGCTTAGCTGTACAGTTGAAGCAGAGTTCAAAGCTTACCGGCACAGGTTCTCACTGCTGCACTTCAACCTGAGACTGCTCAGTATCTGGGCTGACCTGCTAGACTCCAGACATCAATATCAGGAGCCATCAAGATGAGCCATTTTCATCAAGGAAGAAATGTAAGAGCAACCCAATACCTCTGGATGTTGTCAGCCAGCCTGTCCAAGTGCTGCTGCCTGCCCAAAGGACTAAGTCTCATTTCTGCAGCCATGGTCTCCATCAGTTCAAAGTCAAAGACTTCTTGGGCAGTCAGGCCTGCAAAATACAGCAGCATTTGTAAACACAAAAATCAACTAAGGGTCATTTTGGTGTCATTGTAATAATATACGTAATGAAAAGCAAAATTATATTGGTCTCCCTGCTACCAAATCCAAACAATTGCTGGGTGCTGATAGCTTACTCCTGCAATCCTAGTGATTCAGGAGGCTGGGATTTGAGGATCACGGTTCAAAGCCAGCCTGGGCAGGAAAGTCCATGAGACTCTTACCTCCAATTACCCACCAGAAAACTGGAAGTGGAGCTGTGGTGCAAAGTGACAGCGTGCTTGCCTTGAGCCAAAGAGCTCAGGAACATTACCCAGGCCCCAAGTTCAAGTCCCACAACCAACAGGAAAAAGAAAAAAATCTTGCAAAAAGCAGGTTGATTTTAGAAAAATATCTAGAGGCCTATTTTATACCAAAGTAACAAGCGGAATACATGGGATAGAGGAAATAGATTTCAATTGGCACTATGTCCATTCCCTTGTCTTTACTATTGAGTACAATACTTTAAAATAGCCATTCTCCAGGATTTAATTAGTTGCCCTGCCACTCATCTACCATAAAGAAGTATGTTCTCACTGCTAAGATTCAGGAGCCTGTGGTGTGCAGCCCAGCAGTTTTAAAACATAAACATTACCTGTTAGAAAGCAAAGCTCAGGTATCAGGTGGACAATCTGAGGTTCAGTGTTGTCATTTCTCTTGCTTTTCAGCAGACTAACAAGCACTGGCTGATTCAGGTCAGATAAAGTAATACCGTATCTCTATAAAATGCAAGATTGAGGGGAAAGTTAATATGGAAACACTGCAAGAAAGAAGCAAATCCCAAAATGTATACATAAATGAGCCTTTTTAGTAGTAGGATAAAATATCTCTCAGTTTCTTGAACTTTACAACTTTCTCTTAAGGACCTGTTCTTTTAAATATAAGGTTCAGCTTTAAGATTTTAATTATCTTTTATAATGTCACAAGACTTAAAAAAGCCATTAGCATGCTCCTCTGGGTTGCATCCATATTCAGAATAGCCTCCAGCTGATTTGTACATAGTCCAGTGACTTTCCCCAGGGCTGACTCAACGCCAGTGTCTAGAGCTTCTAGAGGCACTCAGAGACCATCAATAAATATCTTTTGAGAATCTGCTACATGCAAGGAACTGTGCTAACTGTGGGTGTCCAGAAACAAGGAGCTTAAGTCACACTTTAGAGAGACTAAAGTTTAAGAGAGATCAGACTATTCGTATCTTGCTTAAGATGATCTAATGTAGCTAAATTTATTAAACCCTCAGAAGAGAATCATAGAGCCTCCCTGAGAGGCGATTGCTGAGCTAAATAGCGAAGAATATTTGTTGTCTTGTTTAAAACAGTAGGGGGAAAAAGAAAGCTATTTTTGTGAAAATACACAGGAGAGAAACAGCCAAGAAACAGGGAAAGGGCAGAATACAAGATATGAGGCTTAAAGGCAGAGGGTGACCAAATAAATGATAAAGGATTTTGAAAGGCCTGTAAGGCATTGTTGGTTCACACCTGTAATCCTAGCTACTCAGGATGATCATGGTTTGAAGCCAGGCCAAGCAGAAAAGTCTATGAGACTCTTATCTCCAATAACCACGCCTTCAGCCAAAAAAAAAAAAGAAGCTCACAGACAGGGCCCAGACCCTGAGTTCAAGTCCAATTACTGACAAAAAAAAGGAAAAAAAGAAAGGTGTGCAGAGCCCATATTTAACTACCAAAGCAATAACAAAAATCATGGATTGTTTCAAGATTGTAAGTGACATTATCAGGAGAATTCTGAGACTACCAACAAGAAGCAGGAAGCAGAATGAGAACCTCAGCCCAACAAGGGACAGGGGATGGAGAAGAAGGGTCAAGATGTAATGTTACGGAAGGCAGACTCAGCCTGGCAATTTGGGGACTTTCCTGCATTGGGAAGGAATATGAGAAGCTCTCTAAGCTAAGAGGAAAGGAAGTATACATATTTTTACCTGCACGTAATAATCCACATAGGAGATCTCTGAGCCGTCTCGCCTCCGGAAGGTGTGCACCGGCTTCAGCGACCAGTTGATGTTTTCAATGCGGTAGGTTCTGTTATTGTATCTGGTAAACACAGGACACTTTTTAAAAAGGTTTCCAGATCACTCAGATAAGCAGTTGTTTCACCACACTTGTACCTCAAAGTGTAAGAAAGACTCCAGAATGTCAGAAATTATGAGACAGTAACATAAGATAGTTGCTTTTTGGGGGGGGGGGCATGATCAAGTCTTACCTAACAAGAGTATTACCATTTTGGCATAGAAGATCTTGTATTCCAACAAATCCAGTGAAAAAGTTGGTAGAATACAATGTGTGTTTCTCACTGACAGACACTCTAACTTCTGTTAAATTGTGGTTAAATGTTCAATTGAGGAAGCATTAGTTTAAATTTTCCCATCTGCTCTGATGTCATTCAAAGTGTTCTGAGACCAGGAATCCTTTCTGATAAAAAATACCAAGTAGGTTAACCAACCACAGAATTTTGCCATCTTGTTTAATCAATGTGGGACCACTCTGATTACCTTTTTCCCATCAGAACTGTGTAGCCTGCAACATTCTGTCATGTGCCTCAGCCTGCAGGAATCTCCAAGGCAAGTTTCTCCAGAGAGCTAGATATCCTGAAAGGCTGTTTATTCAAAGAGTGTGGTATGCTAACCCATCAAAATCTTGATAAAAGCACTGAGGAAGGTCTTCTTGGCTCAGGTAGTATGGAATTCAACTAGTTCTACCCCTCCCCTATATGACCCAGAAAGTAACTTTAAGTGAAAATTCCAAACCAGGATAGGCCAAGACTACCACGGTTACTAAAAGATGCCTCTTTGGATCAGCAAAACTATATGCTGTGTGGGCAGGGAGAGGAGGGGAAACTGGGGAAAGCAAAGGAAGGGATGACAATGTCCAAAAGAAGAAATGTACTCATTACCTGACTTATGAAATTGTAGGCCCTCTGTACTACACCTTAAAAGTAATAAAATTATTCCTTACAAGATATATGCTGATACTCAGGAGGCTGAGCTCTGAGGATCACAGTTTGAAGCCAGCCTGGGCAGAAAAGTCTGTGAGACTCCAATAAATAACCCAGGAAAAGCCCAAAGTAGTGCTGTGGCTTAAGTGGTAGAGTGTTAGCCTTGAGTGAAAGAAGCTCAGAGACTGCGCCCAGGTCCTGAGTTCAAGGCTCAGGATCAGAAAAAAAAAGTATATGCTGTGGGTTTTTTTTAATTCAGGAGGTCATTTAACCCACCAATTTTTAATCCAGTTCAATGTGCATGGAGGGAAAATTATATATAGACAAATGTAGAGGTTTACAAAAAGTGGTGTGCTCTTGATCTAAAAGACCTTGAATCTTATAGAAAAGGTGAGCTATGGATTTCCTGTTCAGTACTGTAATAAAATGCAATATAATGACCATCAAAAGTTGGCTGAGAGCAAAGTGTTTATGGGAGTAGGCAGGTGAGAAACAGACTTACTTCATCTGTGGAGGTGAAGATTTGAAACACACAACTTGGGGTAGAGAACCCAGGCAGGAGCACTAAAGTAACAAAGTTCAGGCTGCTGAGGATCAGAACAGAAAAAGGGGATACAGCAGGTAATAACATGCCAGTTTGGGACAGCCTGAACTTTAGACAACAGAGAGTAGCCACACCTTCTGCACAGGTGGCCAAACTGATCAGACTTGTGCCATGGCCAGTGCTCTAGTGAAATTCCTATTCACAGAGAACTAAGTAATTCATTCTATAGAAAACATTGAGTAGATTTTTTTACCTTGTAAGGACAACACGCCCTATAAGTTGTTTCTCACATATCTGGGTGAATTCAGACATGCCAGCGCTGTGCTCAAGATCAGTCAAAAGCTCCAGAACACTTTTATTCCGGAGGATTTTATAATTCACATCAGCACTAAACAGGAGGCTGCTTTCATAATGTGACACAGAAATGGCAAACCCAGGCCAAAGGGATAATCTTTAAAAACATAAAAGAAGAAAAAATATCATATTTAAAATGTTATACCAGAAAAACAATAAAGATACTTTTGTATGTGTGTGTGTGTTTTTTGTAGAGCTGTAACTCCGGGCTTAGGCACTGTTCCTTAACTCTTTCGCTCAAGGTTAGCGCTCTATCACTTGGAGCCACAGCTCCACGTCTGGTTTTCTGGTGGTAAATTGAAGATAAGTCTCCGGGACTTTTCCTGCCCAGACTGGTATTGAACTGCGATCCTCTGATCTCAGACTCCTGATTAGCTAAGATTACAGAGATTTTTATGTAATGATTTTTCACTCTAATTCTCTACAGATAACTTTTTCTTTAGTGTGATTTCTTCCAGTTGCTAACTAAAACTTTTATTTTCTGTTGGAGTGTCTAGCATACATGTAGGACAAATCTATTCCTGATAAGGCCATTTCTCACTTTGGCACTAATGGTATTTAGACTGCATAATTCTTTGGTAGGAGCTGTTCTTTGCATTGTAGGATGGTGGGCAGCATTCCTTGTCTCTACCCACTGGATTTCAGTAGCATGCTCCCAGCAGCGAGAACCATTTTTGTCTCTGTATAATGCAAGTGGCAGGTGTGGGGAGAGGATAGCAGCATGTAGAGAGGCAAAGATGCTGTAGAAACAATGTGTTAATAAAGCCATCTGTCCACACATGTGGTTCAGCAAAATGCACCCCTTCCAGCTGAAGGCAGTGGGTAGATTTAATCGTGAGATTAAGACATACAAAAGTGAAATGAGATACTGGTCTATGAGACATTCATCTCCAGTTAACTGCCCCAAAAGCTCAAGTGGAGGTATGGCTCAGTGGTAGAGTGCTAGCCTCGAGTGAAAAGCCAAGGGAGAGCTTGAGGTCCTGAGTGATTTCATTTGCAGATATACGGAAGAAACCAAAGTCCAGGATATAGTTCCTTTCTATATGGACTGAAAAATCTTGACTAAGAAGTTATAGAAATGACATGAACAATAGACAATGCTTGTTTAAAAAGAATTCTAGTTTATCTTTTGTGTGTAGTTTGCTGTGATACTAGGCCAATCTGCAGGACAAGCATATGTACTGGGCACTTGTAACTTAGCTCAACACTGAACCTATGGATATTCCTATCCACACAGATTTTCAATCCTTTATGCATTTTGTTTATGTATCTGTCGTCTGTAGGCTAGTTGCTTATTTTTAACTTGATCACAAAATTTTGGAGACAGCCAGGCACTGGTAGCTCACACCTATAACCAGAGCTACTCAGGAGACAGACGTGAGGATTGCATTTTGAAGCCAGTGGGAAAGACAAATCTGAGTTGTTCTTATCGCCAATTAATTAACAAAAAATGGAATTGTTGGCATGGCTTGAGTGGTAGATCACCAACATAAGAAACAAACAGAAGAAATAAAGTGAGAGTGAGGCCTTGAGTTAAAGCCCCAGTACCAGCATATCAATATACACAAATATATATAAACACATATTTAACATTTGTTATTCACATAGTATATATGAGAATAGAGAATATCCATATCTGTTATACATCTATGTAAATATATACATATGTACTTTTTTTTCCTAGAGTGCTATGTATCAACCAGTTTAATGTAATACAGAACAATCATATGTTATAAATATACATATAATATATATTAAATATACATTGTATATATGTGTGTATGTGTTTTTTCTAGAGCTATGTACCAACCAGTTTAAGGTAATAAAGAGTAACAGAGAACAACCATATGTATTGTATGTATATATGTATATATACACATGCACACACAAATCTACATTAAATGCACATTATATATGGGTGTATATATACATATATATGTATTATATTTGTTTCTGGAGAGCTATGCACCAACAAGTGTAAGGCAGGATTGACACTTTCCCTGCAGCACCAACTTTCCAGTTTAGGAATAATATTACACAAGTATTCAGAATTATTTTGCCTTCACTAAAGTAGCTCTGTTGATTTCTTTGTCTGACCTCTATTTACCCAATGACGTCATGTCAACCACCGTGAATGTTTAACTTCAGACCACAGAAAACCAGCTATATGTTACAACACAGTTCAGCTTATTCTTTTTCATTTCATTTTTTTATTCAGAAAATTCAGTTTCTGGATTCCTTCTAGAATTCATGATAATGTCCTTGTACAGAACAATGTAAGGCTTCAAATTTCACTCTACTATTCTATAAAAAATATTCAAAAATTATAAAAGTCCATTATGTTCCAAATTACAGAGACTCTCACAGGAGGCATAATGTTATACTGCATTACACATGATCCTACTCACATTATGAGCATTTCAGAGGAACAGAAAATATAAACTTACCTGTGCTGGGGAATTTCCACTGCCTCTGAGAGCTTATAGAAGTTCCGTCCAATCCGGCATGTGAACAACTGTTTTAATATCCTGCAAGGGTATTTTTTGAATCTTTGGTAAATATCAGTCAATAAAGTGTAATACTAAATTGGTACTCAAACTCAACACAAAATACTTAGAATGCGTAGAATTTTCCTACTAGAATATTTTGAGACTAAATATCCATCTATATTTGGACTGTCACTTCATATTTGAGAATGACATAGTGAAGTTACTTTAACTGAGAGCCTAACTGCAATGATCAATTTGTGATCAATTATAAACTACAACTGTGATTACTGTAACATTTTAGTTAGCTGGAAAGGGTGAAGCAACCCACTTCTTCCCCATTTTGAGAAGAGGCAAGTATTTCTGATAAAGATGTTCAAGCTGCCCATGGGTCTCACATCTCTGGGGTGACCCCTTTGCCACTGGTCTGGTCACCTCCAGTAATTCAGATCACAAAAAGGAGGTGAGCACATTGGGGGGTATAGGAGAGTTTGAGTCCAAGTCAGAATGCAAGGGTTCTACCTCTGTGATGTGGGCTACCAAATATCACAAGCTAAAGTCTCACTTATTTATTATTTCTTTATTATCTTTATTGTGGGGGTACCGTGGCTTGAACTCAAGGCCAGAGCACTCTCCCTGGCACTCTACCACTTGAGCAACATCACCACTTCCTGCTTTTTGCTACAGATAAGAGTCTCATGGACTCTTCTTCCCAGGCTGGATTTGAACCACAATCCTCCTATATCAGCCTTCTAAATAGTTAGGACTATGGGTTTCAGCCACTAACCTGAATATTATAGTCTACCTATTTATAAAGTAGGATTCCTATAACAAGTACCTTCCTCAGGTTGTTTATGTAAGAACATTGTAAGATAAAACAACTGAAAATGCTTTGCCATTAGAAGGCATCTTACAAGTGTCAACTGATTTAAAGTAATTCCCCTCAGAGGGGTATGAGCCAGAATGGCATCTGAAAAGGTAAATGTCAGACATGATCAACAGAGACTGGACAAATTTAGTGTTAGAATTAGGAAAAAAGTGGATTTGTATGTGGTGTTTCATTATGTGCATCCACTACTGGCCAAAAGCTAAAACTTCCCTGAGTCCATCCTCTCTGGAGGCTGGACTGGGCAAATGGGTGGTTAGCTAAGGTTTCTGAGCAGCTCATCAGAATGACTCACATAAGCTACACAGAACTGCTCATATGCTTTAGAGTATACATTAGTCAATTTGTCATCTGGGAAGTACTTTGATTCCCAGGCTCCACTCATGATAGTCTATGTATTAGATCCAGTGATTAGCTAGAGAATTTGCACTTGATCAAATCCTATCCAAGATGATTTTGGAACAAATGATCCTTAAGTTACACCTGAAGAACATGAATAGTTTAGTTCCTTCCTTCTACCCCAGGTGTGTATATGACCAAGGGAAGGAGAAAGAGGGTATTGCCCAGACATATGGCAATTGACTTTTATATTCTAGTCAACCAGCTAGGACAAAAATAAATCCTTCAGTTGATTAAGGCAAACACAGTGAACTCTAGGGGTCAAGATGTAATGGAGTACTAGAAATGAAGTAAAGCAAAAAGGCACCCTCCTTCTACCAATGGGATGGCAATAACCATTGAATGCCTTGTCTCAGTTCTGATAATACTCAGTTCTGATAATGATGATTTGTGTTAACAAGAGACTGTGACAGATTTTTGAAAATTACTGTCAAGTACATAAAAGTAGGTTAAAAAAAACTGCCCTAATGATGATGTTGTTGCTGGAGCACAGCCTAAAAATTGTTAGATTAAAAAGGTACATAGTAAACGGGCTCACTCCTGTAATCTTAGTTACTCAGGAGCCTGAGATCTGAGGAACAGAGTTCAAATCCATCCTGGGCACTCAAAAACCACAAGTGGAGCTGAGGTTCAAAGTGGTAGAGCACTAGCCTTGAGCAAAAAATGCTCAGGGATAGCACTCAGGCTCTGAGTTCAAGTACAAGCCCCATGAGTGACCAAAAAAGTGGGGAGAGATAGTAGACAATCAGATGGCTCAACACCAGCATAGGTTTACTCAGAAAAAGCCAGACAAGGGGAGTGGTAAAGCAACCGTACTTATAACTCAAAGCACTGGTCTGAAGCTCATTATAAGGACTTGGCATTCAGATCTAACACAAACAACTGAACATTTTAATTCCCAGGCTCCATGCTGAGAGGTATCGATAGTCCAAATTAAATTTACATTTAAAATGTCTTACTTTTTGAAGATGATATTGAAGAAGTGGATGCATACAGGAGAGCGTAAGGGCAGTTCACACATTAAAGTGATAGTCATCTTTATGGTCTCATCTCTGTGAGTTTTACTTGACAGTTCTGTGACCTGGGAAAACAGGCATTTTAAATGTACTCTGTTGGGCATCCTCAAATATTCATGTTTAATATACATGAGTGAAAACAGAACTCCAGATGTTATTATATAATTAATAACTTAATGCTTATATTATGTTGGGAGGGCTTTTATTTCCTTGGTGTCTCATTATATATATATACATATACATATACATATATATACATATATATATATATACATATATACATATCTATCTATTTGATCTATCGCTCTATTCTCTAACATAATGAGAGAACATTAAAGCCAGATTCATAGCGAAAAGATTTGATACAAGAAGATTCCAGAACAGTAGACTGTAACCATTTTGGTGAGCAAGGAGGAGATATACCATAAATTACTTTAAGAGTCTGATAAAGATTGAAAGATATCCACTATAAAGCTTCACATATGTACATACCACAAGAGTATACATGTGCCCGTTTTCAGGGACTGCTTGGAGGGTCAGAAGCCTCTTAGCTGCTGTCAAGTTTGTGAATTACAGAGGGCACACTCTCAAAAGCATATTCATAAAACAGAAAAGCAGAGAAGAGAAAAAAGCAAAAGAGAGGATATAGTCAAGAGGAAAAGTAAAAATGAGGAGTGGAGGAATAATGGTAGAAGTTAGAATAAATTCCAGAAATTTCATTCTAAAAATTTGAGAAGGAATCTTTGAAACCATGTGACAAAACTCATCTTTTCCTCATTAAAAAAGGAAAAGAAGAAAAGATGAGGTACTGGGGAAATCCTTAGGATTTTTCTAACCTAGAACCATGTTTTAACAATGTAAAAAGACATGCATTTGTTTCTATAACAGCTCCTGGCACGGTATATGTTTTTTAATGTAAGAATTCAGAAAACCATCAAGTATCAATCTATCATCAGAGATTTTTCTCAAGGATAACAAATTAGAAACTGGCTAATTATAAAGGCCTCAAGAATGCTTGCATATGCATTTCTTGAGTAAATTTCCAAATATGTACTTTTAATCTGGAAATTTAAACCTACATTATACCATGCTACTTAAAATGTTGAGTTTAAGGATTCACATTCTAAGGGTGAGAAGTATAAATATTTAATTCTGTGTTTTAACTTTTCATACAGAAACTGGTTCTTTTTTTTCCTTGCAGTAATCTTAACATCATTTTGAACATCAATATCTTTATTTTAAAAACAAAGATATTAAAATAAAAAAGAATGAAGATATTAAAACCCTAACAATAGATAATAACAAAATATCAATTTCCATTTCCAGTGGTCATACTTTAAAAATACTTTCAGAAAACATCATTATATAGTTCATATGATGGAACAAGTCCTAAAAGAAATGTCAGTTCTGTATTCAGAGACTGATGCTGTTTGGACACATAGGCATGACTGTACAGAAGCAAATGCAATAGAACAAATTAAAAGCTCTGAAGCCATAGGTAAATGCTGTTTTTTAAGGTCTTGCCCATTTATGGAAAAGTTTTAAAAAATGATGCCTATTTTTAGGACACTTGTAGTTATTTTTAAAGTGCCAGAACATCGGGGGCTTAATCACGTAATCAAATACTGATAACTTAGGAAGTCTTTGAGCTTTCCAGCTGGGAACAGGAGAAAGTGAAGAGTTTTTTCATGAGAAAAGGGAAAACCCTAACTTTTTAATTTTGTTAGTCAGTAGTGGGGCTTGAACTCAGGGCTAGGCATTGTCCCTGAGCACTTCCACTTTGAGCCACTACACCACTTCCGGTTTTCTTATGGTTAATTGGAGGTAAGTCTCACTGACTTTCTTGCCTGGGCTGACTTTGAACTGTGATCTTCAGTTCTCAGCCTCCTGAGCAGCTAGGATTTCAGGTGTGAGCCATCAGCGCCTGGCCCCTATCTTTGAAATACACCTGTCTAAGCATATATCTGCATGCATATACATATGCATATACATATGCACACTCAAACACACACACATATAGTGAAAATTAACCGTTTTCTACCTTTTTTTCTAGCTTTTCTGAGAGAAAAAGGATAGCTCCATCAAATGCTTTTGCTTTGTTAGCAAGGACACTGTGATTATAAAGCAAAGCATTCCTCAGCCTTCTAGATTTGATATCTGGATTGTATGTCACATAGTACTGGTATAGCTGCCAGTCTTGGGGAATATCTAAATTGAAGAGATTTGTAACCAGAGTCACAGGTACTCCACTCGAACCTACGGAAACAAACAAAAATAACAATACTTTTTCAATAAAAATTACACCAAGTTAACATTAATCATACTTAAAATTTTAATTTACATCTGCATAATAGTTGCTATAAAGCAAGCATTTTTAGTCAGTGGTACAAGTTAATGTCTAAAACTTGAAGCTTTGCCATACCATATTGTGAATTAAAGTACTTTCATTTGTGAAGCAAGGCAACAGAGAAACACAGAAGCAGAAGCTAATGTTCTTAACTTTGGGAGAAGTTAATGAACCCAAACTCCTCCCAAGCCTGCTTCCAGCTCTAATCCACTGCCATTCAAATCTGCTGCAGTAATGTTCTCATATGCTGTCATAAAGTCATGCTGTTCTCAGATTACAAAGAAACTGATAGGTCCTTAAAATGAACAGTATAACTCCCCAACCTCTGAGAAATCCAAAATAATCAAAAAGTAATCATACTACTGGAAATTCTGGAAAGGTTCTATCAGAGATAAAATCATTAGGCAAATAGCGAAGGAGACCCTGAAATATGGAGGGATGGGATAGGCGTTAGGAAGGAATTATATCTTTTCGGTGTAAAAGTCAACAGGGCCTGGAGCTTCTGGTCTGTGTAGAGAGACCATATGAGTGTTTAGAAGTTCCTTCCTCCTCCAGAAATTTTTATTTACACCTAATGTGTATAGGATAAAATCAGAGATAAACATGGCATAGTCAGGACTTAAGATGACATAAGCTCCACTCTGTCTCAGGACAAAATCTAGGAGTTTACTAAGGAGTTTCCTATTATCACAATCTTCTTTCTTCATGAGGACACACAGTCTGTATTATAGAATGCATGATTCGTACACTCTGACTTCCACAAAAGAATGACATCAAATAAGCATGACTTTTCTTTTCTCATGGAGGAAGTGGAAGCATGAGCCTCCAAAGTGGTGAAGAAGAAAAAGGTGTTGTGTGTACATCAGTGTTTTCTCAGTCTCAGTACAGAACTGTTAGGAGCCAAAAGTCATGGTACTTTTTTAATTAAAGAAAAATCTTTTGTTCTTCCTGAGGAAATGCAACATAGCAGCTCCTATAAATGGACAAAGAAAAGTCAACCTAGAAAATGTCAGATGAGATCTTTTAAGATTTTCTGAATCCGTGTTTTCAAACTATAGCCAACCCCTACACTTAGGAAGAGACAAATACATTGCAGAATTGATCAAAATACCTGACATGTGGTAAGGTAAGGACTATTTTACAAAACATCTTCTTTTCTCTCTCTCTCTCTCTCTCTCTCTCTCTGTGTGTGTGTGTATGTGTGTGTGTGTGCACAAGTAAGTTTGCTAGATGATGAGGTAACATCTAAAGTGTCCAGACAGTGCTTCACATACAGCAAATATTCTGCAAGCATATGAACTTATTTATCTTAGATCTAGGAATGGAAATTTCTTAAGCAAAACTTGGTACCATTAAAAAATAAGTACTATAAGCCGAGTGCTGGTGGCTTATGCCTGTAATCCTAGCTACTCAGGACACTGAGATCTGAGTATTGTGGTTCAAAGCCATCCCAGGCAGGTAAGTCTGTGAGACTCTTACCTCCAATTAACCACCAAAAAACCAGAATTGGCGCTGTGGCTCAAGTGGCAGAGCACTCACTTTGAGCTGAAGAGCTCAGGGACAGCACCCAAGCCCAGAGTTAGGGCCCCATGACCAACCAAGAAAAAAAAAAGTACTGTGAATATTGCATACCTGTTTTACAGTCTTTCACATGTGCCAGTTTCTCTCGGATACAGATACCCAGGTCCATGACGTCCGGTGTCATCTTCACACTTCTTTCTGCAACAGTACTTTCAACATCATCCAAAGATACACCATCTTTATCTAAAATATGAAGAGAACACAATAACAACCCACATATCATTCTAATGATCAATAACGAATCTAAAAACTCAGATGCTTGTGAATTTTAAAACATTTTTGACTATACAAGTTTTTCACGTAAGAATCAGACTGTGAATGGAGCATTTTGTTAGAAATGAAATATGCTGAGTTAGTGCTCTTAATATATTCTTAATTGTTTGTTATCTTTAAGTAGTTATACAAAGTGATTTCAATTTAACATGTAAGTGTATGAGTACCATGTATTTTGATCAGTGTCATCCTTTCCATCATTTCTCCCCATCTGTCCCAATCCCACCAATGCCCTTTTCATTATATTTTAAACTTTTACTTTTTTGTCAAGGAGAGAAATTGGTCTCTATATATCTAACTCTATATGTCTAACTCCTTCTTGACAGCATGCTGAAGCTCTATACCAATGTCTGCACAGAGTAGGGCTAAACCCGTTCTTTCCCAGTGAAAAGGAACTATCTAGAACACATAAAATTAAAATTTCTTCCTTCCTTCCTTTTCATTTTTTTTTCATGAGTTGTGGGGCTCAGGGCCTAGGTGCTGTCCCTGAGCTTTTTTGCTCAAGGCTAGTGCTCTACTGCTTTGAGCCACAGCTCTACTTCCAGCTTCCTGATGGTTCATTGGAAATAGGTGTCTCACAGAGTTTCCTGCCCAGGTTGGCTTTGAAGTGCAATTCTCTGATCTCAGCCTCCTGAGTAGCCAGGATTACAGGTGTGACCACCAGCACCTGGCTTAAAATTTATTTCAAAATGAATGTTCTTTATTTAAGTAGTATTAAGAGGTGCTTGGGTTTTGGATGTACCTTTGACACTTTGAAGACAACAGAATGCCAAAAATCAAAATATTAAAGTATATTACTTCAAAATGATATGAGTAATGCATCTCTAGAACTCTGGCTTGGACTGTCCTATGGTACAAATATTACATGCAATTTCCCCCATGTTGTCACTTTCACCTGCTCAGAACAACTGACCTTCTCTTTCTCAATGGAGTCTGAGTTTTCCAAGAAAATAATAAAATTTAATTTAAAAATCTATTAAAAATCTTTCAGTAAAATGCTATCCTGCTAATTCTGTTCTATTCTCATATTCTATCAACCTCAGTAGATTGTCTATATCATCCAATGCTCCTGATTTCAAAAGATGTTGGATATTTTCTAAAATTTCAAGCTACTGTAGGATGGCAAATATTAAGGACTGAGGGCAAAGGAGAATTTATCATGTAAAGGGGAATCGATTTTCAGTTGAGCAAGGCTGAGGAAACTTGCAAAGGATAGATTTAACAGTTAAAATGGTAATTATATATGCATATACATTGTATAAATTAAATAAACAAACAAATTGAATCTGTTTTCCAAAGATGAAGGATTTCCATCACTTGCTGTTCGTAAGAATGTATAGGCAACATGGACATAGTCTGGAAGGTGGAATGATGTCTGAATGGTGCCGGGTCTGGTATACTCCCCTTTCATTGTACAAATCCAGATTACACAGGGGATGTGAAAGTGGGACTGGACAATCTCCTGCCAGAACAAGAAGGGGTGTCTAAGTGGGACCAGCGAATCTCCCACCAGGAATAGTGAAGCCGAGCATGGGATAGGTGAGAGCTTCAGACTCTCAGTTTGGGAGGTCCTAAGTGCCTAGAGCATTCATATTTATTAGAAATTGGAAAATTGATTTGGTTGCCAGAACAGGGCCACCTAAGGTTATGGGGTGAACTGTGTCCCTACTACATGCATATGTAGAAATCCTAACCCATGGTACTTCAAAATCTTATTGTTACTTGAAGACAGGGTCTTTAAAAAGCTAAGTGAAAGTTATGTCATTTGAACACAGAAATGTTCAGAAGAAACATGTGAAACCAGGGAGAAACAAGCCATCTACAAGCCATGGAGAGAAGCTTCAAAAGATACTAACCCTGCCAACATCTTGATCTCAGACTTAATACCTCCAGAATTATGAGAAAATAAATTTCTATTATTTGAGCCACCTATTCTGCTATCTTGTTATGGAAACTCATAATTAATGTGCTGGGCATGCCAACTGCTATTGTGGCAGTGGAACTTGAAGTGGCATGTTGACAAAGATCCCAAGACCACATCAGGGTTTTAGGGAAGAGAGCTACCATCAAACAGGGTGCTTGTCCCAGGGGAAGAGAGAAAGTCAGCAGCAGCATTTTTCCATGCTTCTACCATCCCAGCAGGTAATGACAGCATTGCATTTGGATGTCATAGATCCCTAGAGGGTTTTTTTACTCCCTTCAAAATTCTTCACTGAATAGACAGAATCAGAAAACTGACTTCCTCATGACAGTGAATATCCACTTACTAAGCGTTAGCAGCTGACTCCCTGTTAGGGAACTTCTAAGTACATGACTACAGGCATCCAAAAAAAGAAAGATGTTCAAGAAGCAAGCCTAGGTCTCTAAGGTTGGGTGAAGTCCCTCTTGCTCCATTCAGGTTGAACAAAGCTAAGGGAAACAGCCTCAGTTGAGCTTACTTTGCTGTGAAGTGCTGCTGGTTTCCATGAAGTCACTGCTTGAGGCCATTTCATGGTCACTAGGATCAACAGATGTGGCCTATCAAAAGGGAAAACATTTTGTTCAGATACGAGTCACAAGTCAAAACATCACAAGAACAGATCAGCCATTGTCATGTCCTAAGTCATTAGATAACCATGAATGAGGAAAATAAAATATGAATGGGTAAAATTCTTGAGATGAGAAACCATGCCCATTCTAGACAAAAGGAAGAGCTATGGACATTCCAATTTATTTATTTATTTATTCTGTCTGTCTCTCTCTCTCTCTTGTGAAAATACCATATACAGGGGTTACAATTACATGGGCAAGATAATGAGTACATTTCTTCTTCTTCTTCTTCTTCTTCTTCTTCTTCTTATTGTTGCCTCCTCCTTTGTTTCCCCTTCCCATCTCTCAACCCCCCCCCCACTTTCCCCTCGTCCCCCCCCCCCCTCCCCGACCAAAGTTGTAAAGTTGTTTTTTGGACATAACGACTTGTACATCTCATTGTTGCAATGGGTCCACCTGCATCCATATTTAAACAATTTATTTTTTCCCTTCCCGTCCACAAATTATACCAACATCAAATACAGTGAAAGCAGGGGTTATACCGTGGGAGAAGGACATAGAAAGCAATAAAGAAATCATCTTATAAATATGTTAGAAACAATCGCATGAAAGAAAAAACATTTGAATACTTATCTTGGGGTTCACTGCATGTAACATCAAGTTATCTGACCTTTTTTGCTTGTCTCAGACATATATTAGTTATTGCAAATAAGGGAAACCATGGGACCTATATTTCTTTGGGCCTGGCTTACTTCACTAAATATATTTTTTTCCAAGTCATTCCAATTTATTAAACTGCTTTTTAGTACTATCAAGAAAATACAGTGTGAGACCCAAGTGTAAGGATATGATCTTTGTGTTCAGGAAACCGATAAGAACAAAGGGGCACAAGTGTGCATGGACCTCATGCCTCTGTGACCGTGAGACATGAAAATAAATCAAACCCAGACAGGGACCTGTAGGTACAGGTCTAGAAGATGACTCCCTCTGAATAAAGTGGCCCAATCTGTTTAAAAATGAGTGGAGAGAGAGCCATTAATATTTTCTCTTTTCATGGGAAATGTTTGTCTTTGTTCAAGAAATTACTACAATCTTGGTCAGCTGCAAAAATGAGAAGACTGCTTTCATGAAAATAAAAGTAAAATGACCACAGACAACTCAATTGAGTACTTTTACTCTCAGTCTAAAAGGTAGCTGAAGCCCAGCACGGGTGGCTCACGCCTGTAATTGTAGGTACAGTTCAAAGCCAGCCCGTTTAGGAAAATCCCGGAGACTCTGATCTCCAATTAACCACCAGAAAACCAGAAGTGGTACTGTGGCTCAAGTGGTAGAGTGTTCGCCTGGAGCTGAAGAGCACACAGGCCCAAAGTTCAATCCCCACCACCGACAAAAGAAAAATAAATAAATAAATAGATAAATAAATAAATAAAAGGTGGCTCAAAATACTGGAAATGTAGTTGAAATGTACTTACTCATGGGTCCATTCAATGTAGTCACCTAAGACTAACAACCAGCCAAACACACAGTGGTTAATGAAGCAACGGCAGCTGAATCAAACTAGATGTACGTTAGAGATTTATGTTCCAGTTAAACAAGATTAAGTTGTATTAGTATTTGCGCTATATAATGATCTGAATATGGTCCATTTTCTCCCAAAAAATGTATAGCCAAATTATTTAAAACTTAGAAAGTAAGCTGGGCGCTGGTGGCTCACGCCTGTAATCCTAGCTACTCAGGAGGCTGAGATCTGAGGATCGCAGTTCAAAGCCAGCCTGGGCAGGAGAGACCGTGAGACTCCTATCTCCAATAAACCACCAGAAAACCCAAAGTGGCGCTGTGGCTCAAATGGTAGAGCGCTGGCCTTGAGCTGAAGAGCGCACGGACAGAGCCCAGGCCCAGAGTTTAAGCCCCACGACCCACCAAAAAAAAAAAAACTCAAAAAATAGAAAGGAAAGACACCCTTTCTTCCAAAGCTCTTCACTGGCTAATGTACGTACATTCCTATCTTACTCACCTGATATTCCTTCCAAGAAAAAGGTGAGAAACTTCAGGAAGCCTCAACGTTGGGAGAAAGTGCCTTCTTTCAGAGAAAGGAGATACACAGAGAACAAGGCTCCATCCAGGTTGAAGACAGAGGTAGGAAAAGAAGGAAAGGGAGCGATTCACCACGCTACTTACCAGTGGCGTGGCTAGGGAGTGCTCGTCGTTGGGGGTGGTGGAGTTTTGAGGGGACCTTGCAGCACTGGCACCGGCCGGTTCACTCATGTTCCCACGCACTCGAAGGGCTTCTAGAGCAGTGAAGTTTGA